GGGGTGTCTATGACTTTGCCTGCACTTGGGACTCTTTTCTTCCTACTAGATTGCCTCGTCCAGCGTTTTTTTTTTTTTTTTCCGAGACAGGGTTTCTCTGTAGTTATTGGTGCTTGTCCTGGAACTAGCTCTTGTAGACAAGGTTGGCCTCGAACTCACAGAGATCCGACTGCCTCTGCTTTCCAAGTGCTGGGACTAAAGGCAGGCGCCGTCCAGCTTTGAATAGGATTTGTAAACCTGTCAAAACCCTCTTTTGTCTTTAGTCCCACTCTGCCTCAGTCATAGCCTTGCCATCTCAACCCTGAACTACTGCAGTTATCCGACGTCACACCTGCCCCTCACCTGTGACCAGTCACTCACATAAGCGAAGTACAGATCTGATGGTGTCACTCTCCCTATAGCCTAGAGAGCAAAGTCTAAAGTCTTTCATCAAGGCTCTTCCCATGCTCACATCTGATTACCTTGGACTTCCTACTTTAGCCTTACCCTATCTATCCTTGCCTTTTCCTGAAAGGGATTCCATTTCCCATCATGGCCCTCAGCGGGCTACTCTTTCTGTTATAATTTGCTCTCCCTGTCCACTTGTAAGGCCCCTGTTCCTTCTTGCTCTTCTTTTCTTTCTTTGTTACTTTTTTTCATAGTCTCACTATATAGCCCTGGCTAGCTTAGAACTCTCCAAGTAGATCATGTTGGCCTTGAACTCACAGAGATCCACCTGCCTCTGCCTCCTGAGTGCTGGGATTAAAAGTGTGCGCCACTGCACCTGGCCCTTCTTACCTTTCTAAGTCCAGCCCCAAATGGTCATCTGTGCTACTGAGCATTTTCTCATGTCTTACTGACTTGCCTCTGCAGTTGGGCCCACCCAGCCTCTTTAACCCCATCTCACCATGCCTTAGAATGTACTTGCTGATACATCTGTCCCAGAGTAAGAAAAAACACAAAGAACAAGGACCTGGTCCTATTTTCCCCTACATTTCCAGCCAGCATACAAGGATTCATTGCTTGCTGAATGAATTAGGTTATTGAAACAAGAGCCAAAATAATAATGATGATGATATTACTTTCAGAATCCTTTTATAAGAAAAACAGATCTAGCTGAGCATAGTGGTGCACGCCTTTAATCCCAGCACTCAAGTGGCAGAGACAAGTGGATCTCTGCGGGTTCGAGGCCAGCCTGGTTTACATAGTGAGCTCCAGGATGGCCAGAACTACATAGTGAGACCTTGTCTTGAAAACAAGCAAACAAAAACAAAAAGACAACAAACAAAAAACAAAATGAAAAGTAACACTACTAGAAAGATACAAAGACAAAAATAAAAGGTATCAGGGACACATGAAATCCACTCAGAAGCTCTTAACTCCCAGAAATATGTCCGTCTTGGTTAACTTAAGCAGAAAAGGTTATTAAACACACAAAACCCAGACAGGCGAGATTTTTGTGGACCTGTTATCTCAGCTACTTGAGAATCATAAGTTCAGTGCCAATCTGGGGAACATAGCAAGAACTTTCCAACTAAAATGGGGGCCTGGGTATAGCAATGCACACCCTTACTTCTAACCTGTTGAAGGCAGAAGCAGGTGGGGCTCTGTTAGTTCAAGGCCAGGCTAGTCGACGTAGCAGTTGCAGGCCAGTCTGAGCTACAGAGTATGAACTTGTCTCAACAAATAAGCAAATAGACCTCCTGGCTAACTAGAAAGCTGGGCACGTCTGCATGTGAAGGGCAGTCGGCACGTGCCGTAGAGACTTCACAGGTGTCTGTGGTCTTGGGAGAATGCCCCTGACAACTCGGGAAAAGAACTCACCCAGCCAGAGAAGAGAAAGCTGACGATTGGTCAGAATCTGTATTTCCTGATGTGTATGTAGGTCATTTCTCATACAAGGGCAAATGCTGTCTTAATCTTGTGCCCAAGAAGGAGTCTCTGAAAGAGATGACAATACCTTAGCTCAGGGGAATCTTCAAATGATGGTCTCAGGTAGACACAGGTCTAGGGGAGAAAGTAAATACTGCTTTTTGCATTTAGGCTCTTTTTTAAAATTATATATATATGAGTGTTTTATCTGCATGTGTATCTGTACACCACATGGATGCAGTGCCCGAAGATATCAGAAGAGGGCATCAGAAGTGGGATTTCAGATTGTGGTGAACCACCATGTGGGGACTGAATTTGAACTCCAGTCCCTGGGAAGAACAACTGGTGCTCTTAACAGCTGAGCCCTACCTCCAGCCCCTGAGTTTATGTTCTTACAAACTTGTCACAGATGGGCGGTGGTGGTGCATGCCTTTAATCCCAACACTTGGGAGGCAGAGGCAGGCAGATAGATCTCTGTGAGTTCGAAGCCGGCCTAGTCTACAAAGCGAGTTCTAGGCCAGGCTGCAAAGCTATACAGAGAAACCCTGTCTCAAAAAAAAAAAAAAACCCTCAAAAAAGAAAATAAAACAAAACTTGCCGCTGAAGTGATTTTTGCAAGCTTCACTGAATAAATGGAAAGGCTCTCGCTACCCCAGGCAGAGCTTGCTTTGGCAAATGAGGAAGTCCGGAGCTGAATGTCCCTCTGAGTAGAGTGGCTCTGAGGTCAGGCTGTCTGAGTCACAGCCTGGCTTCGGCAGTTTGGAGTTGGCAGATGGAGCGGCGGAGTAGTTAGGAGCACTAGTTGAGTGCTGGAGGGATGAGCAAAAGGATTAGATGATAGGGAACATGCATAGTGCACGGCCTGCACCAGAACAAGTCAGAAAATGCTATCAGCATCGTTCACCAGCAACAAGATCTTATGACCAAAGAAAGGCAGGCATGGCCACGCACATTTGTAATCCCAGCATATAGAAAACTGAGACAGGCCCAGGCGGTGGTGGCGCACTCCTTTAATCCTAGCACTCGGGAGGCAGAGGCAGGCAGATCTCTGTGAGTTCGAGGCCAGCCTGGGCTACAAGAGCTAGTTCCAGGACAGGCTCTAAAACTACAGAGAAACTCTGTCTTGAAAAAAAGAAAAAAGAATAGGAAAAAAGAAAACTGAGACAGGATCAAAAGGTTGAGGGCAGCTAGGGTTACATAACAAGTTCAAGACCAGCCTAGGGTATAGAGAGAAATCCTGCCTCAAAATAAAATAATTAAATAGAGTGCTGGAGGAATGAATCATGGTTGGGAGCACTAATTGGAGTGTTGGAGGGATGACTCAGTGTTAGGAGCACTAGTTGGAGTCCTGGTAGGATGACTGAGAGTTAGGAGCACTAGTTGGAGTACTGGAGGGATGATTCGGGTGTTAGGAGCACTAGTTGGAGTCCTAGTAGGATGACTGAGAGTTAGGAGCACTAGTTGAGTGCTGGAGGGATGACTCAGGGGTTAGGAGCACTAGTTGAGTGCTGGAGGGATGACTGGTGGTGAGGAGCACTTGTTGGTTTTGCAGAGAATTTGGCTCTCGACCATCTGTAACTCTGGTTCCAAAGGGTCCAACACTCTCTCCCTGGGCACTGTGGGCACAGCACCCATGTACTGCACATACATGCACACAAGTAAAACACTCATACACATATAAATAAAACTCTTTACATTTTTCAAACGAATGCATAAAAAGATCCTGTTCACAGGCTTGTCATCGGAAGCTTATCTTTATGGGTCCACCCATCCCACCACCTCCACTTTATTGTCCAACTACGGGATCAGAGTTCTCAGAAAATGGAGGAAAAAGCAACTAATTAGCTTCGGACAAAGGGAAAGGCAGAAATATCCGGGACAGAGAGCAGAAAACAGGCCATAGCCATAGAATGGCTTGCTGTGCAACTGGTTAAAAATAGATCTGGTGTCCCGGGAGCCACGCTGGAGAAAAACAAAGCGCATCCTCAAGTTGCTGAGTTTATGTCCTGTGCCCAGACAAAGCTCGGGTTCAGGTATGGAACACACAGAGCCAAGAGACAGTCTGAGAAGGGAAATTATTGCAAAGATTTATCCATTGATGTTAGATGGTACTGAAATGGGTAAAGTCAACGAATGTCACAACCCGATTCCATGAATACATGCTTAATGTATACTGTGTGCTAGGACTAGGACAGCCTCCAAAGACAGACAGACACACATGTCTGTTCTCTAGCTTACATGCTGGAAGGGAAAGACCGGTAATTAACAACTACTACAGGCATGGTGTGGTTTGTAATTCTAACACTCAGGAGGCTAAATCAGGAAGATTGGGAGTTTGAGACAGACTGAGCACAGTACGATGAGAGCGAGAGCGAGAGCGAGAGAGAGAGCGAGAGCGAGAGCGAGAGCGAGAGAGAGAGAGAGAGAGAGAGAGAGAGAGAGAGAGGAGGAAGAGGAGGAGGAGGAGGAGGAGACTGGCACAAATAGTCACTTTCTCTGGAAGCTATCAGATGATGCAACTGACCAAATTAAGGAGAGGAATGGGGAAATTATCTTAGGGTTAACCGTGTGCACAAAAATACAGCAAAGGGCTTAAAAATCTTTTAGAGTCTTGTGGGAAAATCTAGGCAAGAATCTATACTCAGGAAACTTAAAGGAAACACATAAGGCAGCCAAGAGTGGAGGCTCACATCTGTAATCCCAGCTGGGGCAGGAGTAGTGCTGGTGTTTGAGGCCAGCCTGGGCTGCACTGTGAATTGTAGGCAAACCTGGGCACAGACTGAGACCTTGTCAAAGCACAAATGAAGGCTGGAGATGTATCAGGGTTGGCAGAGTGCTTGCCTAACATGAACAAAGTCCCAGGTTCCATCCTCAGCACTACATAAGCGGAGCGTGGTGGCTCACACCTGCAATCTCAGTGCTCCAGGGGTGGAGGGAGGAAGATCAGAAATTCAAGGTCATTGTTGGCCACGTATTGAGTTCCAGAATTTGAAGTCAGCCTGGGCTACATCTACACATACACACACATACACACACACACACCACCACCACCATCAATAACAACAATGACAAACGACATGAGGCTATCATATGCTTATAACACTTATAATATGCAATTTATATTTGGAAATTGTGCTTTTAAAAAATAACCAGAGAAGAAATGGGGGTGAAAAAAGTTTAAGAGACAGGGTCTCTCTGTGTAGCTCTGGCTGTCCTAGAACTTACTCTGTAGACCAGGCTGGCCTAGAACTATGAGATTTGCCTCCTGAGTTCTGGAATTAAAGGTGTATGCTCCACGCTAGACTTGGTGGAAGATTCTTCCTCTCCTATCCACTCTCCTACCTCCACTGTCGGGGCATCAGCATCTATCTTGATAATGGAGTCTTCTATTTTCTAATATGTCTTCATCTGTGCACCATTTCTGTGCTTGGTGCCTGAGGAGATGGTTAACCTCCATGTGGGTGCTGGGAATAGACCCAGGTCTTTTGCAAGAATACTAAGTGCCCTTACCCACTAAGCCAACTCTCCAGCCCAATAACAGAGTCTTGACAATAGATACTTGAGGCCTTTTCTGTTCCCTGGGAAGAGGATAGATTATGAATAAGATATAAAAGGCTTAAATCACGTGCTACAAATCTGTATTACCAACATTCAGAAGGAGCCTGAGCTGAAAGGAAGCCACTGTTTTAAAAAAGAAACCAATATTCTAGTACTTGGAAGGCAAAAACAGGTAGATCTTTGTATTTGAGAGGCCAGCCTAGACAGCCTGGTCTACATATAGTTCCAGGCCAGCTAGGGGTACATATCTAGACCATCACACACACACACACACAATCACGTGATCAGATAAATAACTAAAAGTGAAAGATTGGCTAGGCGGTGGTGGCAAAGGCAGGCAAATCTCTGTGAGTTTGAGGCCAGCTTGGTCTACAGAGCTAGTTCCAGGACAGCCAGGGCTACACAGAGAAGCCCTGTCTTGAAAAACCAGAAAAAGAAAAAGTGAATGGAGACAATTCAAGTACAAATAGAATTCACCTTCACATTGAATATGTGCAGTTCAAATGAGACGCGAGGGTGGAGCGAACCTGTGAAGATGGAATTAGTGACTGGTGAGGATGTCTGGTTGTAAGAGGATTGCCAAAACAGATGGGAAACTGGTTGCAAGGACTGTAGAAAAATATCAACAAACCTAGTCACTGGTCCACCGTTTTATTCGACCACTCCTCTTCCCGTTTCATTCCTGCTGGAGCCCCTCAGTTTTTGGTGTCAGTTTCAGACACCTCACCTGTTGGCTGCTTCTCCCACAATCCTCAGTGCCCACCCTTTGCCCTGCAATGATCTGTTCTTTCTGACATTCTCCTTCATCTCACACCCCAGCCATGTACATGTCTGCCAAAATCCAGTCCGCCCTAGACTCAAACAGTTCTTCAAGAACATAGCGGCCAGTTTTCTTCTTCTTAGCATTCATTCCCAAATATTTTTCTCCTTAAAATGATCCCAACTCCCTCTTTTCCACTCTTCACTCTGTTGATACTGGTTTGGCCTCGTGCCCAGTAACTCTCCTCCAGTCCAAAACTCACTCATATCTACCCTTCGGGGTCAGCAGAGCTTGGCTTTGCTCGAGCTCCTCTCTGACTTTCAATACTTCTCCAATCTCCTTTGTCTTCAAGTCTTCATCCACCTGATTCCCTGGAGCCTTCTCTAATCTCGTCTTTCTCTTCCATAGGAACAGATTCATAGGCGGGATCTTCCACGTTATCCAAGACAAAACTGTCAATCTCCCCTGCTTTCTCTGCTCCTTCTTGTTCATCTCCGCCTTCCGGACTTTCAGGAATTTGTAGTTCCAGACTCATGTCTTCCATCGCACTTTCATCACCAGTAATATTTATCACTCTCTCAATGTCCTCTTTGCTTGTATTTCCCGGTCTTGAATGCTCTTCCAGTTCCATCTCATCGGACTGTGCTTCCTCAGTATTTGACTCCAGTTTATCTTCTGTGTATCTCAGGTTCTTATCACCAGTCCTCAGCTTCTCTCCTCCACTGGAACTTGATTTCTCTCTATTCAATCTCAGCTTCTCATCACTTGACTTCGCCTTCTCTTTGGAGGACCCCCGCCTCTCTCCACTGTCGGATGTCTTCTCTGGGATGGACTCCCGCCTCTCTCCATTGTCGGATGCCTTTTTTCTGATGGACCCGCGTTTCTCTCCACTATCTGACACCTTCTCTCTTATGGACCCTCGTTTCTCTCCACTATCCGACACCTTTTCTCTGATGGACCCCTGTTTCTCTCCACTGTCGGATGTCTTTTTTCTGATGGATCCACGTTTCTCACCACTGTCCGACACTTTCTCTCTGATGGACCCCCGTTTCTCGCCACTGTCCGACACCTTCTCTCTGATGGACCCCCGCTTCTCGCCACTGTCCGACACCTTCTCTCTGATGGACCCCCGTTTCTCTCTACTGTCCATTTTCTCTACAGCAGACCGCTTCTCTCCTCTGCCCACCACCTTCTCTCCCATGGACACCCGTTTCTCTCTCTTGTGCACCAAGTTCTCTCCACTTGACTCCACTTCCTCATTCTGCCTCAGTTGATCCCCTCTGGATCTCAAGTCCCCTCCACTGGTTCTCAACTTGTCCTTAGACTTCAATTTTTCTTCAGGCTCTGCTGTCATCTCTGCATTCTTAGATACAGCTCCAGCTTTGGGTCTGTCCTCTTGCTGTCCCTCTGGGATATCATCCTCCAACTTTGCTGGAGCCTGTGACGTCCTTTCTACACTGTTCAAGAGCTTCGTGTCCACCTTCTCCTGATGCAGGCCCGATCTCTCTTTCGAGATCTTCTTCCCCACGACTTCCAGCCTCCAGTTCTCAGATTCCAACTTTGCGTCCCACACTTTAGACTTTTGCAGGTTTCTGTCCAAGAGTTCCACTCTCTTCCCAATCACGATGAGTCCATTCCAGGGGGTCCACACCTTCTCTTTCTCCCGCATTTGCGCCTTTTTGCAGTACGGCTCGGGTTGCGATCGCCTGTGGACGTGGGCCTTGCTCCGGGTGCCCCGGGCCCGGGCCTTACTACGGCCCCGCGGCTTCCTAAACTGCTTACCCCGTACTTTCGGGCCCGGGTGTGGCAACTTGAATGGAATCTCTTTCTCCACAGACATTGCTACCTGCCCTCGACCCTAGCCCCCCTGACTCACTCGGGTTCCCCATTCCCCCCAACCCAACCCTCCCTCCCACCCTCACCTCCTTCCGGACTCCTCGCCCCGCCCACCGCCTGGTGGCGCCAAGATGCTCTAGTGCGCATGTGCAACTGTGAGCGTCAGACTGGGCCCGGGTGGAGACTGGGCCCGGAACCGCCGCGATTGTAGGGTCCCCACCCCCACCCCCGCGGGACCGGCACGTGACCCCTGTGACCCTTAGAGCTCCTCAGTCTCTGGCCTATCCTGGACCGGCTCTCTGGTGCCGCTTAAAAGTTGGCACAGGAGCGACAGGCCTCCCAGCCAATAGCAGCTCCCGTGGCAAACCTAGTGCCCAGTCAGAAGGAGCGCTGCAGGCTAGAGGACCCACCCAGAGAGGTGGCGGCGTGTGTCAATGTCAGCTGATAGGATCCCTACAGGGTCCCCTCATCCAAGCTCTTGGAACGCGCAGGCCGTGGCCAGCTGTAGGATTCTTGTGTGTCCCAGCTAAGGAGCACTATGGAGGAGCTTCATCAGGAGGCTGGGAAAGAGAGCAAGGTAAAGGAAGGAAGCAAACCCCTTCCTACTCCATCTCACCCCATCATCACATACCAAGCAGGGAGCAAGATCTGAGCAAGAGAATGCAGCGCTTCTATGGCCCCTGCAGAGGGGCCAGCTGAGGATAACAAAGATAACCAGGGTTTGACCTCAGCCTCCATGGATGGAATTGGGGAGAACAAGGCAGTGTGCGAGTGAGTGCGAGGGGGAGGGACTGCTGTCGGGTTCACAGGCTCACCTGGGTGTTTGTGTTTCTATAGTTAGGAAAACATCCGTTCATTCTTCATCTTTCCCCGTCCGCCATTCAATAGTTATTGAAGATCTTCACTGTCTTGGGACTTGCAGAAATACACACTTGAGGTAGGGGTTGAAGGCGCTGGTGAGCTGTGGCAGAGGTAAAAATGGAACCTCTGTGGTCCATTCTGGAAGTCACACTTTCCTCAAGCAGCCACCAAGTAAAGTAGATTTGAGTAGAGAGATAGACATCAAGAAGGAAGCCAGGGACTAGGAAGCTAGGCTGCCTGGGTTTGAAGAGGGGAGGAGTGGGGAAAGTGAGGGATGGTCTGACTTGGGATGGTCAGAGAATCCAAGAAGTTGAGAGTGGGATTCAAATGGAATCTGGAGGAATAAGAGGGGCTGAGCCTGTTCACATATGTTCATATTAGAAAGTATATGTAAGTAACCAGGCATGGTGATGCACACCTTTAATTCTGGAATTCCAGAGGCAGAGGCAGGAAGATCTCTGTGAGTTCAAGGCCAGCCTGGCCCACGTGGAGAGTTCTAGGTCAGGCAGGGCTGGGGAGATCTTATCTCAAAAGCAGAAGAATATATATTATTTTATACGTATATATTATTTTATGCATATATACATATATGTTATGTATACACATTCTTTTATACACATGTGTTATTTTATACACATTAATTTATACATATATACATATTGTTACTGTATACACATATTGTTATTTTATACATATATACATATTGTTACTGTATACACATATATGTTGTTTTTATATATATATATATACATATATGCACTTGTAATATGTTTATAAAGTGATTAGAAGCCAGGTGTAATCCCAGCACTTGTGAGGGTGAGGCCGGAGGATTACTACCAGTTTGAGGCCTGCCTAAGCTACAGTGTGAGACTCTGCCATGAATATAAATTTATTTCATTTTTGCTTTTTGGTTTTTGTTTTAGTTTGTTTTTTGTTTTTCGAGACAGGGTTTCTCTGTGGCTTTGGAGCCTGTCCTGGAACTAGCTCTGTAGACCAGGCTGGTCTCGAACTCACAGAGATCCGCCTGCCTCTGCCTCCCGAGTGCTGGGATTAAAGGCTTGCGCCACCATCGCCCGGCTAATTAAACAATACCTAGCATATTATAAGGCCAGACATAGTGTTGCTGATTGGTGCTGTTGGGGTGGCTGTTGTTGCTATAATCTTACGGGTTGTATATGTCCTGAGAGTGCGCTGAACCATTTCACTGCTGAGTGCACCCCACATATAGGAGCCATCTTCTGAAAGTCCTTTAGGTTAGATCCTGTCTTCACAAAATACATCTTTCAAATGTAGATGCAGACTGGAAGATGGCGCAGTGGTTAAGAGCTCTTGCTGCTCTTGCAAAGGATCTGAATTTGGTTTCCAGCACCCACATCAGGAGGCTTCCAACTGCCTGTTACTCCAGCTACAGGGCTCTAAGACCCTCTTCTGGCCTCCTTGGTTACTTGCAGGCAAATGTGCATACTCATGGACACACACATACACATAAATTTTAAAATTTAAATGTAGAGACATTAAAAGGAACACTAAAGAATTTGGAAAGTGTGACTTAGTGGTACATTGCTTGCCTAGCAAGGTCCCCAGTTTGATCCTTAGCACTTCAAAAATTATCAGTAATAATAAATACAAGCAAAAGTATAGTGGGGAGGAAGTATAAAAATAGAAGATATTTGATTAATCTTATTAAAGACAAGGAAAATAAATAGTAAAAAGGTAAAAGCTGGGCGGTGGTGGCACACACCTTTAATCCCAGCACTCCGGAGGCAGAGGCAGGTGGATCTCTGTGAGTTCAAGGCCAGCTTGGTCTACAGAGCTAGTTCCAGGACAGGTCTCTCTCTGAATGAAGCATCTTAGACTGATTCACAAGGTTTTCTTCTGTAGGCTCTGTAGGCTGATCTGGAACTCACTACGAGAGCCAGGCTGGCCTCAGCTCAGGGGCAATCCTCCTGCCCCTGTTTTCTGAGCACTGGGATTATAGATACATACTGCTGTTTCCGTTATGGACTACCTGTGTGCGAGAGTGTGTCTTACATGTGTTCGTATGGAAACCAAGTGTGCAAACAGGGTGCACTGTTCTCCCTTCTGCCTTACCCTTAGACCCTCGCTGTACCTGGAGCTAAACAGGCAGTCAGTAAGCCCAAGCAGTCTTCGTGTCTCCACTTCCTGCTTTAATGTGGTTCTTTACTACAACCTGGATCTGTAGCAGGCTTTCTCTTGGGCCACCAACCAGCTCCCATTCATGACATGGAGATCAGTCGGGTGCCTTATGCAGGCAAGGAGAAACAGCAACACATCTTTACTTACATTGTTAAACAAACGCAGCATACACAAATAGCACATCTTTGCCTAGTTACAGTAAAATTCCACATCATGGATCTCTACATAGGTGCCACATCTGAACTCAGATTCTCATGCTTGGGCAGCAAACACTCTTCCCCAGTAATTCATCTCTCCAGCCTTACCTACTGTCTTCCTTATGTCTGCTGGATCATCGCTGGGAGTCTCCCTCTTCCCTTTCTCCTCTTGTCTTCCATATTTTCTCTTTCTTTCTCACCCTACTAGGATTTTATCTAGTGTATTAACATTTCTTTATATTTACATTTTTTGGGGGGGTCTGGAGAAATGGCTCCTCTGTAATGGTCTGTCCTGTCTCTTTAAGGGACAAGCTCTGCCCACTCCCTCCCCAATCTGCTGAGGCAGGTGGATTTTCCTTCTGCTTCTAGCCTGAGTCCTTACTTTTCCATCTCTCTCCCAAAGAGGTAGCTGCTGCTGTGGCTCCTTCCTTCTCTCTTTCTCTCTCTCTCTCTCTCTCTCTCTCTCTCTCTCTCTCTCTCTCTCTCTGTCGTCGTGGACCTTCTTGGCTCTTATCGTCTGTGTCCCTCTTTTTTTTTTGCTATTGTCTCTTTGTCCTTTTGTCCTTTGTTTTCTGTGAGCCGCAGGGTCTCTGATCCTCGGTCCTTCTCTCTCTCTCTCTCTCTCTCTCTCTCTCTCTCTCTCTCTCTCTCTCTCTCTCTCTCTCTCTCTCTCTCTCTCTCTCTCTCTGCTTCTCTTCCTCTCCCCTTCCCCCATCCCTTCTATAACCCACTAAATAAATATCCAATCTCACTCTGCATGACGTGCCTATCTGTCTAGGTCTCTCACCCACCACATGGCTCCCTGCCTGGGATCCACTGCCCCTTGTGGCTCATGGGCCGCTCAGGGAACAGTGCCATTTTACTTAAACCGCAACATCCTCTTCCAAAGAACATGCGTTCCATTCCCAGCACCCACAAGGCAGCTTATAATTACCTGTGGCTCCAGTTCCAGGGGATCTGACACTCTCCCACAGACTACATGCAGACAAAATGCCACTGTACATAAAATAAAACTAGATTTAAAGTTTTAAGACCACATATTTGTTTTCCTCATTTTGTTTATTTTTAAATTTTTCTTATGTTTATTATCTTTTTATTTATTGTGTATGTAAATGGGCATCAGATAGCCCCTTCTGACCTTCCCAGGCACCAGGCACATACAAGGTTCACAGACATGCATACAGGCAAAACACTCATATACATAAAATAAAATAATAGTTTATATATATATATATGATATATATAAAGAAAAAGGTCTTAGCTTATTTTAAAGTAGAGAAAGTCATTTTTGTGTTTTTTTTAAAATAATTTATTTATTATGTATACAGTGTTCTGCGTGTATGCTTACATGCCAGAAAGAGCACCAGATCTCATTACAAATGGTTGTGAGCCACCATGTGGTGGCTGGGAATTGAACTCAGGACCTCTGGAAGAGCTGCAAGTTCTCCTAATCTCTTAGTGTTTTTGAGATAGGGTTTCCTTATATAATTCTCTTTTCCTCATACTTTGGTAATTTTTTTTTTTTTGCTTCTGCCTCCTAAATGCTGGAATTACATGTCTGACCCACCATACCCAGCTGAAATGCTTGTCTTTTAATTGAAATGTTTAGGACATTTACAGTTTTTTAAATTACCCATATAGTATATTAAAAATTTACCATCTTAGAGGCAGGTGGATCTCTGTGAGTTCGTGGCCAGCCTGGACTACAAGAGCTAGTTCCAGGATAGGAACCAAAAGCTACAGAGAAACCCTGTCTCGGGAAAAAAAAAAAAAAAAAAACCTTACCATCTTACTTTGTATTTTTTCTTGATCCCATTTTTTTGCTTGCTACATGTGTATGGTATGAGTGTTCAAATGTGTATTAGTTGTGCATGTGGAGGTCTGAGGTTAATGTCTCTTTTTTTGAAAATATTTACCTTTATTTCATGTCTATGATTGTTTGCCCACATGTATGTCTGTGTACCGTGTGCAATCAGTGCTGGGGGAAGTCAGAACTCCCTGGAACTGGAGTTATAGACAGTCATTAGCCATCGTGTGGGTGCTGATAATTGAACCTGGATCTTCTGGAAGGGTAGCCAAATGCCCTTAACTGCTGAGCCATCTCTCTGGCCCATGTTGATGTCTCTTAATTGATCCCCAAGTTTGCCATTTGAGCTAGCCTGGCTAGCCGGCTTGCTCTGGAGATCCCGTCTCTTCCGGTCATAGCTAGGGTTATAAATAGTATACCATGCCTACCTGACTCTTTTGACTTCTGGGAAGCCCTGCCCTCTGCTTATAGAGCAAGCACTTTACCTGTCTCCCAGCCTCCCACCTGTTTTGTGTTTTTTTAAGATCTTAAAAATTACTTCTAACTTTGTGTAGGTGCGTGTGTCTGCATGTAGTGTGTGTAGGTGTGTGTGTCTGCATGTGGTGTGTGTGTCTGCATGTGGTGTGTGTAGGTGTGTGTCTGCATGTGGTGTGTGTAGGTGTGTGTGTCTGCGTGTGGTGTGTGTGTGTCTGCGTGTGGTGTGAGTGTGTCTGCATGTGGTGTGTGTAGGTGTGTGTGTGTCTGCATGTGGTGTGTGAGTGTGTCTGCATGTGGTGTGTGTAGGTGTGTGTCTGCATGTGGTGTGTGTAGGTGTGTGTGTGTGTCTGCATGTGGTGTGTGTAGGTGTGTGAGTGTGTCTGCATGTGGTGTGTGTAGGTGTGTGAGTGTGTCTGCATGTGGTATGTGCCTGTGAGTGCAGAGGTCCTCAGGGGCCAGAGGTATCAGGTCCGCTGGAGCTGGAGTTACAAAGGGTTATAAGCCACTGATGTGGAACTGTACTTATTCTTCTGAAGAACAGCAAGTTACTCTTAATGCTGAACCAGCTCTTCAGCCTCTGCTTGTCTTTCTCAGAATGTAGCCCAGACTCGTTGTGTAGCCCAGGTTACCTTGAATTCTCCATAGTCCTCCTTTCTTGCCTACTAACTGCTGGGATTTCATGCCTCTACATTATGCTTAATGTACCTCACTTCTCCTTTTTAATTTTGTTATAAAGATTTATTTTCATTATTTATGTAAATGTCTCCACGTATGTCTGTCTGTCTAAGTATATGTACATGTGTGCGTAAAAGTGCTGTGGAGTCCAGAAGTTCAAGCTGGCTTTGAACTCACGGAGTTCTGCCTGCCTTTGATTATAAATAAATAAAGTATAGACCATCATTTCTGCCATACAAATGTTTTTAATCTTTTGCTTGTTTTAATTTTTTTGTTGTTGTTGTTTGATTTTAGAGACAGGGTTTCTTTGTGTAGCCTTGGCTGTCCCAGAACTAGTTCTGTAGGCCAGGCTGACTTCGAACTCACAGAGATCCGCTTACCTCAGCCTCCCCAGTGCTGGGGTTAAAGGCGTGCACCACGACCACCTGATTTTAAGTTTTTATTTTATGCTTATGGGTATTTTGTCCGCATGTGTGTTTGTGGATCATATTCATGCTTCGTGCTAGAAGACTGCGTCAGAACTGGATACAGACAGCTGTGAGCAGTTGTGAACCGCCATGTTGATGCTGGGTTCTCTAGAAAAGCAGCCAATGCTCTTGGCCATTGAGTCGTCTCTCCAGCCCCACAGTTAGTTTAAAAACAGGAGAGCCAGGCAGTGGTGGCACATGCCTTTAATCCCAGCACTCGGGAGGCAGAGGCAGGCGGATCTCTGGGAGTTCGAGGCCAGCCTGGTCTACAAGAGCTAGTTCCAGGACACACGCCAAAGCTACAGAAAACCCTGTCTCGAAAAACAAAACAAAGGGGAAAAAAAAGAACTGAAAGGTAGCAACAGCTACAGAGCACGAATGTCCCTGTGCCATCGGCCTGTACCTTGAAAAATGATGGTTCCAGTAGGGTTGTTTTTATTGTTTTGTTTTATTTTTATTTTTTGGTTTTTCGAAACAGGGTTTCTCTGTACAGCAATGGCTGTTATTCTTTCGGTCCCTGCCCTAGCCACGCCCACTCCCATTACCTCTGACCTGCCCGTAGCCATCTTGGGACCCTTCCTCTTTCTGCTTCCTTGGCGTGCGCACGCGTTTTCTCCGTCTCTTTCTTCTTTTATCTCCTTTCTCTTCTTTTATCTCTTTTCTCTGTCTTTCTTTCTCCCTCTTCCTTAATAAATACTTATGGCTATTTCCTGTGTTTACGTGTCTGTTACCTGCCGCCACCGTGCCCTCCTGTAGCCGCTTTCTCCTGGCGGGCTCCGACAACCCGCCCGGGAATCGTTTTTTAAGAATAACAATGGCTGTCCTGGAATTCACTCTGTAGACCAGGCTGACCTTGAACTCTCATAGATCCAAGTGCCTCTGCCTCCCAAATGTTGTGATTAAAGACACGTGCCACCACTGCCCAGCTTGTTTTAAATTTTAAATGTTAAGGTTCATTTTCAATATAGTGTGTGTATGTGTCTGCGTGTGGATCAGGTGCCCTCTGAGAGCAGAGACATGAGATCCTTAGCACTGGAGTTACACTGAGAACTGAGTCCGTTGAAGATCTAGCGTTGGGGAGAGAGTGGAGACACTCGGTCCCCCGGCAAAGCAGGGGCTTCTTCTCTGACCCTGGATTAGGCACAAACCACACTCAAACACCTTTTTTCTACAGAGAGATCCTTTATTAAGTATGGAAGAAAAGTTAAAATGGCTGTTTTCTGGCTCAGGCCCCAAAACAGCAGCAAATGGCCTTGCAGGTGTAATATTTATTTATTTATTTATTTTAAAGATTTTTTTTTTATTATGTATACAACTTTCTGCCTTCATGTATGCCCACACGCCAGAGGAGGGCGCCAGATGGTTTGGAGCCACCATGTGGTTGCTGGGAATTGAACTGGTTGCTGGGAATTGAACTCCGGACCTCTGGAAGAGCAGACAGTGCTCTTAACCACTGAGCCATCTCTCCAGCCCCCCAGGTGTAATATTTAGAAACAGAGAAAGGGGAGGTCTGTGTTTGGGTTAGGATGTGGATGTGGTGGTATATTTTGATTGAATATGTTAATTAGGTGAACCAAAGGGGACTATAGATTGCTGGACTTTAACACTTCTTTGTTTCGTTTTGTTTTATTTTTTTCGAGACTGGGTTTCTCCGTGTGACAGCCCTGACTGTCCTGGAATCCACTCTGTAGACTAGGCTGGCCTCAAACTCAGAGATTCGCCAGCCTCTGCCTCCTGAGTGCAATTAAAAGTGTGGGCCACCACCACCACCAGGCTGGACTTCAATACTTTAATAGCAAGACCTTGGCCATCAACCTCAGAAGGAGGAGTAACTAGATAAAGGAACGGACCTTGGGGATTAGCTTTAGGAATGTAATCTCACGGTTTTTTAGCTAGACGGAGGGAATGGGGGCAGGGCAAGGGCTGCTGGAGCTGTGCTCGCCACGCCTGAGCTGGGCAGAGCCCCTCAGAGACACCTGCCTGCCACGGGAGATGTGTGACCATCAGAGGACAGCCTTGGGGTTCTCTTTCCTTTCCCCCCATGGGTTCCAGTTCCAGAAAGCAGACTCAGGTCACCAGGCTTTATGCAACAAGTGTTTTTACCCACGGAGCCATTCTAAGTGACAGATATTGGCAGATGGAGCATGGTGAACGGTCTGAGGCTGTCATCGGCTACACAGGGCATTGTCTCCAAAGAAGAAAAGCAAAAACTTTCGTATATTTTATCACCCCTCCCAAATTGTCAAAACCATTGAGAGAAAGGGAGAAGAGTTTGACTGATGGTTCATGCAGTAAACCCAGCCACTCCAGATGGTTAGACAGACAGGGCAGCCGCTTGGCTCAGACTGCCAAGCCTGATGACCTGAGTTCAAGCCCCCAAACCACTTGGTGGAAGGCAGGAACTGATTCCTTCCAAGTCGTCCTCTGACTATCACATGTTGCCCCCATAAATAAATAAGATAAATAAGTGAATGTAAATTTTTAAAATAGTTTTTAAACCAAAAACAAACAGAAAACTAAGCCTTAACGATAGCTGCTTGCTAGCCTGTGCAGGACCTTGGGTCCATCTGCAACACTGCAAGAGAAAGGAGAAAGATATACCAGGACGCAAACCGTAAAATATGATCAAGTTAAATTAATGTGTCAGGATGGTAGTTCTTTAGCAAGGCAGCATTCCAGGAATGTAAGGTGCTTGGCATTTGGAACCAGCCAATGAGATCCGAAGCTTGGTTTGTCGACGCGCACACACACTCCCCTTGCCGCTGCCCCCGCCCCCTACCCCTCGCGGGCGCCCGGTGCAAACGACCCCCAATCGCCCGGTGCTGCCAGTTACAGGAGCATCTCTCCGCCGCCTGGTCATGTTACAAAAGCCGAGGAGCAGGAGCCGCCCTGGTGCCCAGCCCGGGAGCGGCAGCGGCCGTGATCTGGGTGCCTCTGGGGAGGTCCCGAGTGGGCCCGAACGCCCCGATGCCTCGCAGGGCAGTGCAGGCGCCTTGTCGCCGAGCTCCCGCCTGGCCCAGGCCACTCCCGCCCCGGAACTCCGGACCCAGAAGCAGCTGGAGTTGAAGGTGGCAGAGCTGGTGCAGTTCTTGCTGATTAAGGACCAGCGGAAGATCCCCATCAAGCGGACCGGTATCCTGAAGCACGTCATCCGTGACTACAAGGACATCTTCCCAGACCTGCTCAAGCTGGCTGCCGAGCGGCTTCACTATGTGTTCGGGTACAAACTGGTAGAACTCGAACCCAAGAGCAACGCCTACATCCTCATCAACACCCTGGAGCCCGTGGAGGAGGATGCTGAGATGAGAGGCGACCAGGGAACGCCCACCACCGGCCTCCTGATGATTATTTTAGGGCTCATCTTTATGAATGGCCACAGCATCCCGGAAACCGAAGTCTGGGATTTTCTTCGTCGTTTGGGGGTGTATCCCACCAAGAAGCATTCCGTTTTCGGAGATCCGAAGAAACTCATTACTGAAGACTTCGTGAGACAGCGTTACCTGGAGTCCCAACGGATACCCCACACAGATCCCGTGGACTGTGAGCTCCAGTGGGGTCCACGAGCAAATCTGGAAACCAGCAAGATGAAAGTTCTTAAATTTGTGGCCAAAGTCCACAATCAAGATCCCAAGAACTGGCCCACGCAGTACTGTGAGGCTTTGGCAGACGAGCAGAGCAGGGTCGGACCGGAACCCAGTGGTCCAGTCTCGGCTTCTTGAAATAAATGCTTGTGATTCTCAAGTTCAAGGTGGAAGAATAGGAAATATGGGGATGGGAGAAGCATATTTCCACAATAATTAAAGTGTATTATCTTTAAGATGTGTCTCAGTTTATTTTTTTCTTTTAGAACTGATATAATTCTATGATACTGTACCTGAGCTGGGCCCTGGTGGTGGCTCTCGCCTAATCCCAGCACTTGGGAGGCAGAGGCAGGCGGATCTCTGAGTTTGAGGCTTGTCTTGGTTTATAAAGAATTCCAAGACCACACATACACACACACACAGAGAGAGAGAGAGAGAGAGAGAGAGAGAGAGAGAGAGAGAGAGAGAGAGAGAGGCAGAGGCGTTATTTTTCATTTACAGATATTATGGTGTGTATAAATGCTTGTGTGTGCCATGACGTGTAGCAGTCAGAGGACGGTTTATGAGAACTCGTTCTCACCTTCCACAGTGGGGATATGAGGATCTGATCAGGCTTGGTGGCAAGCACCCATATCCATTGAGCCATGTCACCTGCTGATGTTTGGGTTTTCTGTCTTAAGACTGGAACTCACTGTGTAGACCAGGCTAGCCTCCAATTTAAAGATTTGCCTGCCTCTGCCAAAGGAGTGCTGGAATTAAAGGTATGTGTTACCACTGCCTGGCATGGGTTTTTTTTTTTTTTTCTTGTTATTTTTAAACAAGGTCTCATGTAACCCAGGTTGATTTCAAACTCCTGATCTTCTCCTCCTGAAAGCTGCAAAGAGTCAGGCGTGGTGGTCACACACCTGTAATCCCAGTACTCTGGAGGCAATGGTAGGAAAATTAACTAGGGTTGAAAGCTAGCCTGAGCTACATAGTTTTAGGCTAGCCTGGGCTACATAGCACTACCTTGTCTCACAAAATCAAGTATTAATAATAATAATAATAAACCATTTATTTTAAATATTTATTTCTAAATTCTCTGTCTGTGTGTGGGTCTATGCATATGAATTCAGGTATCCACAAAGACCAGAAGAGTGTATTGGGCCCTCTGGAGCTGGAGTTACAGACAGTTATTAGCTGCCTAACATGGGTGGTAGAACCCTGGCTCTCTTTATTTTTAATTTTATTTAATGTGTGTATGGGTTGTTTCTTTTTTTAAAGATTTATTTATTTATTATGTATACAGTGTTCTGTCTGCATGAATGCCTGCAGGCCAGAAGAAAACACCAAATCTCACTGCAGATGGTTGTGAGCCATCATGTGGTTGCTGGCAATTGAACTCAGGACCTCTGGAAGAGCAGCCAGTGCTCCTAACCACTGAGCCGTCTCTCTAGCCCATGTATGAGTTATGTTTTGTCTGCATGTATGTCTGTGCACAGTGTTTACATCTGGTGCAGAAGACATAGATAGGATTTCCTGGGACTGGAGTTACAGATGGTTGTAAACTGCCAGGTAGGTGCTGGGGATTGAACCCCAGAGCAGTAGTGTTCTTAACTGCTGTCATCTCAGGAGCAACAAAATAAAAAATTTAAAACAGAATAACATGCACATAACTATCCTGAGAAAGGGAGAGACATTTAATAAAAATCAGCATCATCGGGGCTGGAGAGATGGCTCAGTGGTTAAGGGCACTGACTGCTCTTCCAGAGGTCCTGAGTTCAATTCCCAGCAACCACATGGTGGCTCACAACCATCTGTAATGAGATCTGGCGCCCTCCTCTGGCGTGTGGGCATATATGGAGGCAGAATGTTGTATACATAATAAATAAATAAATCTTTAAAAAAAATCAGCATCATCTAAGGATATGTTTGGTTTTTGTTTTTTAAAGTCTGTTGCATGTGCATATATGTACACATGTGAGTGTCATAGCATGTATCTGCTGTCAGAGGACACCTTTGTAGTCATTTCTTCCCTTCCCCCTTTACATGGTTTCCTTGAACTTTCAAAACAAGTGCTATAGCTTGCAGAACCAGCGCTGATTTTTTTTTTTCTGAGACAGTTTCTCTTTGGAGCCTGTCCTGGAACTAGCTCTGTAGACCAAGCTGGCCTCGAACTCACAGATCCTCCTGCCTCTGCCTCCAGAGTGCTGGGATTAAAGACATGCGCCACCACTACATTTTTATTTATTTATTTGGGAGGGGGGAGTGCCATGACAAGAGTTTTAGTCAGGGTTTCTATTGCTGTGAAGAGACACCATCACCATGGCAACTCTTATAAAGGAAACCATTTAATTGGGCCAGCTCACAGATTCACAGGTTTAGTCCATTATCATCATAGTGGGACATGGGAGCATGCAGATAGACATGGTGCTGGAGAAGGAGCTGAGAATGGAGAAGGGGCTCAAACAACAGGACAACAGACACTGAGACACTGGGTATTATGAGCAAAGACTTCAAAGCCCATCCCCCCCCCCCCCAGTGACACACTGCCTCCACAAGGCCACACCTACTCCAAATAGTGCCACTCCCTTTGGGAGACTTTTTCTTTCAAATCACCAGCACCTGGCAGCTCTTAGCTTTTCTTTAACTCCTTTTCACAAATCGGAAATTTAGCAGAGTGGGATATTGCTCTGAGATCAACAGTGCCTTTATTTCATTTCTTAATCTGTTTATCTCCTTGAACACAGAATTTAGCTCTATTCCACTTCTGGTGCTCCTTTTCTCCTAAAACTGCACATTTAACCACACAATTGGCTGTTTTGAGATTCTCTCTTCCAGTGGAATTAATCCAATTCTCTTCGCTTAGCCTCAGGCAGTCTCTTGGGACAGGGCAAAAGGCAGCCACTTTCACCACCGAAATGTCACAAAAACTGCCTCTAGGTAACAAATTCTTAGCTGGGCGGTGGTGGTGCACTTAGGAGGCAGAGGCAGGTGGATCTCTGTGAGTTCGAGACCAGCCTGGTCTACAAGAGCTAGTTTCAGGACAGGCTCCAAAACCACAGAGAAACCCTGTCTCAAACCCCCCTCCCCCCCAAAAAAAATTCTTCTCCCCGGAAACCTCTGGACCCAGCCTTCACAGCGCAGTTCATCCTCAGCACATCCTCCGTGCTCCTACTAGTGTAACCCATTAGGCAGTGCTCAAAGCCATTCCAGTGCCTCTCTATCCCAAAGTACCAAAGTCCAAATTCCTCCAAACAAAAACATGGTACCTGCTTCTGTCTTAGGGTTCCTAGTGCTGTGAAGAGACACCTTGACCCCAGCTACTCTTATAAAGAAAAACATTTAATTGGGGTGGCTTATAACGTTTCAGAGGTTTAGTCCATTGTCATCATGGTGGGACAGACATGATGCTGGAGGAGCTGAGAATGGAGGAGTTTAGCAACAGGAAGTGGTCTGATATACTGGAAAGACCTCAAAGCCCATCCCCACAGTGACACACTTCCACGTGCAAGGCCAACCTACTCCAACAATGCCATACCTCCTGACAGTGTGTCTTAATTAGGGTTTCTACTACTGTGACAAAACACCATGACAAAAGGCCAGTGGGGAGGAAAGGGTTTATTAGGCTTATACTTCAGCATTACAGTTCATCACTGAAGGGAGTCGGGACAGGAACTCAAATAGGGCAGGGTTGCTTACAGACTTGCTTCCCATGGCTTGCTCAGAACCCATCCCAGGGACGGCTCCACCCACAATGGGCTAGACCTTCCAGAACTGATCACTAAATGAGAAAATGCCTTACAGCTGGGTTTCCTCAGCTGAGGCTCCTTCCTATATGACTCTAGCTTGTGCCAAGTTGACACCCACAGAAGCACCCAGCACATAGTGCCACACCCTTGGGGGATATTTTCTCTTAAATCACAAGTATGTGGAGGCCAGAGGAAACCTTGAGGGAGTCAATTCTTGCTTTCTACTGTGTGATTCCTGGAGGTGACATTGGAGTCACCTTGCTTGGCAGCAGGTGGCATTCCCAGCTGAGCAGTCTCAACAACCCTCCAGCTCTCCTTCCTTTCTTGTTTTTTCTTTTAGTGTTGTTCTTGTTTTTTGAGACAGGGTTTCTCTGTAGCTTTTGGAGCCTGTCCTGGAACTCGCTCTGTAGACTAGGGGCTGACCTGGAACTTACAGGTCTCTCTTTTCACGAGCCACGGTTTCTTGTGGGTCAGGCTGGCCTTGAACTCACTACCTAGTCAGATCTGGCCTTGAATTCTGTCTACAGTCTCTAAAAGTTATTATTGGCTTGACCTCTTGATCTTCCTGCCTGTACCTCCCCAGTGCTGGTGTGCTTTGCCACACCCAGCTGGAAAGTCATTGTTTATGACCGGAAACAACCAAGGGTTTCCTTTATCACAGTGCCTATCTCTTCTCTTAAGCTGTAGTCTAGGACTAGTAAATCAGGAATGGGAACAAAGACTGGAAAGGAAAGAATAAAGCTTTTTAAGTTATAGGATTATATCAGTAGTAAATCTAGAAGAGTCTTAAAAACTAACGACAAATTTAGCAATGAATTGTAATTATTTATAAAAATAAGTAGAGCTGGGTATAGTAGCACATGCCTTTAATTCCAGAACTGGGGAGGCAGAGGCAGATGGATCTCTGTGAGTTTGAAGCCAGCCTGGTCTACAAAGAGTTCCAGGCAGGCAATGAGTAACAGAGACTCTCTTTCAAAAATAAGTAAGTATATATAACCAAAATAAAATAACTAGGACTGGAATTTAGATCAGTAGTGGAACACTTGCTTTGCCAGAGCGAGGCATGAGTCCATGCCCAGTACCACAAGAAATAATGAAAATAGTAGTAGTAAATAATAGTGATAATAGATACTTTAGGGAGCCAGGCACAGTGGCTCATTGCTTGTAATCCTAATACTGAGGCCAAGGTAGAAGAATTGTTAGGCGTTAAAGACCAGCCTGATCTATATATCGAGTTCCAGGCCAGTCAGGGCTACATAGTAAGATGCTGTCTTTAAAAACACCTAAATAAATAAATAAATAGTACTAATAAAAATCCAAATCCCTGGTAAGAGCATAATATGTTGTTGAGTGGGTAAGGAATGTTAAACCCCGTGTACTACTGCATGCTGGTAACTGCTAACACGGCCAAAGCAAAGACTAGCACTCACCTGCCGGCCTTGCTTCTTGGTCCCTCCGCAGTTGTAACTCCACTCCTGCTTTCTTCTGCTTGGGGAAGGATCTTACTCTGTAGTCCAGGCCTGACTGAAACTTATTATTTTATCTAATGCCAGGCTGGCCTTAAATTTACAGCAATCCTCCTGTTTCAGTTTCCCAAATACTGTGATTACAGGCATGAGACACCAAGCCAGGCTTATGGAGGCTTTTTTTTCTTAAGTGTTTTTTTTTTTAATTTTATTTATTTATTTATTTATTTATTTTTGGTTTTTTGAGACAGGGTTTCTCTGTGGCTTTAGAGCCTGTCCTGAACTCACTCTGTAGACCAAGCTGCTCTCAAACTCAGAGATCTATCTGCTTCTGCCTCCCAAGTGGTGGGATTAAAGGCGTGTGCTACCACCACGCACAAAGGCATTTTAAAACCCATGCAGGTTCTATAAAGAAGCAGTTCTTGTATCTGACAGAAGTGATGACTTAGGACCTTCCAAAGAGAACAGTGAAAGCATTCTGCCTGCCCCTGAGGATGGGAGCTGGGGAAGTGTTTGGTTGGTAGCAGTACCACTCTGAGCAGGGTCTCCAGAAAGGTAGGACAAAGCACCTTCACTTAGCCACTTTGCCCTCTCACCCCGCAGCCTTCCTCCATGCCGGTGGATCTGCAGGGAGAGAGCTCCTTACAGGTGGAGATTTCTGATGCAGTGAGTGAGCGGGACAAGGTGAAGTTCACTGTTCAAACCAAGGTACGTTGGCCAGGAGATGGGCAGATGGCCTGGGATGGGAGGGAGAACCAATATAGCTTCCCGCCCCTTGGGAAGCCATCAGCCCTGAGCTGATTGCCTTTGGCTGAAGCCCCACCTTCCTGAATGAAATCACAGGTTTCAAAAGGGGTACAGGATGGGAATGCTAAAAAGTGGCTGCTTAGCAGGTTTGGTGAGGGCAGGTTTGGGGGAGATGAGGTCTTACGTGTCTCTGGGCTTCCAGAGTGGCCTCCCTCACTTTGCCCAGCCTGAGTTCTCGGTGGTTCGGCAGCACGAGGAATTCATCTGGCTACATGACACCTATGTGGAAAACGAGGAGTACGCCGGCCTTATCGTAAGGAGGGGCTGGGCTGGGCTGTGAGGGGCAGGCTGGGAACATGGGTTAGGACCCAGGCTGTGATGGCCTCCTTGGCAATCCATCCCTCCTTTGAGCAGATTCCCCCAGCCCCTCCCAGGCCAGACTTCGAGGCTTCAAGGGAAAAGCTGCAGAAGTTGGGTGAGGGCGACAGCTCCATCACCCGGGAAGAGTTTGCCAAGATGAAGCAGGAGCTAGAAGCGTGAGTGTCCAACCCCAGCCCCACCCCAGAGCTCTAGGGTTTCTTCCCTGACTATGACAGATGTCCATAGAGCCTGACCTCTAGCCCCAGGTCTGCTGAGAAAGAGGGGGAACCATGATAATGGGAGCTCACTGTGGTTGTCTACAGGGAGTACTTGGCCATCTTTAAGAAGACGGTTGCAATGCATGAAGTCTTCCTGCAGCGCCTGGCAGCCCATCCCACCCTGCGGCAGGATCACAACTTCTCTGTCTTCTTGGAATACAGCCAGGATGTGAGTTGATTTAGGATGCTGGGATCTGAGACCAGGGTTGGAACCAGGCCTGAGAATTTCTCCCAGTTTGCTCCCTGTGTGAGTGGCATTTGACCATGGTAGAAGGTCCAATGCCCCACCCTAGCATCTCACCCTCTCCTTAGCTGAGTGTTCGAGAGAAGAACAGAAAGGAGGTCCTGGGAGGGTTCCTGAGGAGCATCGTCAGATCTGCAGACGAAGTCCTCATCACTGGCATATCGGGGCTCAAGGTGACCCTCTGGCTGTGGGAGGGGAGCCACTGGTTGGGCCTGCCGTGGGCTGCCAGGAAATGGTGGCACACTGGGTGTTGGTACCACCATGCTCCTGTTGCGTGGGTAAGACGTGTTCTCTTTCCATCCTCTAGGAGGTAGATGACTTCTTTGAGCACGAGAGGACCTTCCTAGTAGAATACCACACCCGAATCCGAGACACCTGCCACAGGGCCGACCGTGTCATGCTCTCCCACAAGTGTATGATGGGTTGAGGGGCTCTCACCATGGGTGGGGCTTGAATGTAGATTTAGGGGCTCTGACTGGGATTGTTCTCCAACAGGCCTGGCAGATGACTATATACCTCTGTCTGCTGCACTGAGCAGTCTTGGAACCCGGGAAGTCAGCCAGCTGAAGAGGTAAGGACTCATTTCTCTGTCCTCTCCCATGCCTGCAATACTGTGTGTACCCAAGAGGGTGTGCACTCTATAGAAACCAGGCTGGGGGAGGGGCTGTGCAGAAGCTTCTGAAGGGGTTAGGGGAGAAAAGATTCCAAGGAGGGTTTGAGGGCAGAGGCCTTGAGCTGCCCCAGATCCCTGCCTTCCACCTCCCAGGAGCTTCCTGAAGCTGGCAGAGCTCTTTGAACGACTGAGGGTAAGTACTGCATTCTACACTCAGGGTCTTCTGTGATGGGTGGGCTTGGTGGCTCCCACTCTAGAAATGGAATTACAAAGAAATGGAATGGAGCCAGGCCATGGTGGTGTGTACCTTTAATTCCAGCATTTGGGAGGCAGCAGCATAGAGATCTCTGTGAGTTCAGGCCAGCCTGATCTACAGACCTAGTTCTAGGACAGTCAGGGCTACAAAGAAACCCTGTCTCGAAGAAACAAAACAAAAAAAAAACAAAAAACAAAATTAATGAAGACATGCAGAAAGCATGCCATCGAGATGGGTGGGGTGGGAGTGGGAGAAGGGCATGGGGGTGTACCACACCTCTGGGAGACTGCCACCAACATCCTGTTGAGATACATAATTCCCAAACTCTTATTCCAAACAAGTCCATGCAGTATACCAATCTCTCTGCAAGGTGTGTTCAAGGACCTGCAGGGGCCTTGTCCACTCAAGCTTACCAAAGATACAAAGCCCTTAGCTTGCCCTTTGGCCACCCTGCTCTGCTTTGCCTATGTAACCTACTGAGTCTGTGGTTCACTAAGCTTGCACACATGCTCACACTTCCCTGGCCTGCCTTCTGAAACTCAGAACCTGATCTCTAGTAGTTCCCAAGCAGTTCTCTCCTGGAAATGTAGAGGAAGGGCCCCCTTCCCAGTCTCATCTTCCTGACACAGAAGCTGGAAGGCCGGGTAGCCTCTGATGAGGACCTGAAGCTGTCTGACATGCTGAGATACTACATGCGAGACTCACAAGCAGCCAAGGTGAGAGGTGGCCCGAGGTACTCTCAGGGATCGAGGCCATGTGGGGTGGACAGGCAGCAGAATCCATGGCAACTGGATTGTGCTGATGACCTTAGGACCTGCTGTACAGGCGGCTTCGGGCACTGGCCGACTATGAGAACGCTAACAAAGCGCTGGACAAAGCTCGTACAAGGAACCGGGAAGTGCGACCAGCGGAGAGCCACCAACAGCTGTGTTGCCAGCGCTTTGAGCGCCTCTCTGACTCTGCCAAGCAGGGTGAGTCCTGAAGCCTGGCATGGTCCCAGTGAGAATCCACCCTGACCAACTGTCCTTACTTTTTCACTCTTTCCCCAGAGCTCATGGACTTCAAGTCCCGCCGCGTCTCCTCTTTCCGTAAGAATCTCATTGAGTTGGCAGAGCTGGAGCTCAAGCATGCCAAGGTGAGCACTCACGGGCCCCTCCTGACTCGTGCTGCTCCCATCTTCTTCCCAGTGTATGCATAGTCAGGCCCAGGGTCAAGGTAATGCCTCCTCTCCTGGGGCCAGTATTTTTTTTCATTGGGTACTAGGAAGGGGGCCTGCAGGCTGAGCAGTAGATACAATAGCAGCCCTCAGAGAACTCTAAGGGCTTTTCTTCTCCAGGCCAGCACCCTGCTTCTCCGAAACGCCCTTGTTGCCCTTAAGGGAGAGCCTTAGTGAAATCAAATGCTCCTCTGAAACCTTCAGCGGCATCCTCACCTCCTACCCTCCCCAGAGATGCCCCTCTACCAAAGCTGCCACTAGCCACACGCCCACAGCAGAATGCATTTTTCCTTGCCCCAACCAAGGCCCAAAGGTGGTTGTTCCCCACTCCTACCTGGGCAGGGCAGCATGGGGGAACACACTTGGCCACAGGTAAGCCGTTTCCAGGGACCCTAGCCCTCCCCACAGCAGGCTGAGTCAAATTATCCACCCCTTCCCACTTCTGGCTTTTGAATTCCAAATAAAGAGCCTGGTTTTATATAGCTGGAGGTCTGCTGGTCTTTAATTTGCACAGTGCACACGCCCTTAGCAAGTCACCACACACTGGGGACTCAGAGGCAGTCCTGCAGCACCACAGCTCTTTATCAAATGACAACAGGCTTATTTTTTTTGGGGGGGGGGGGTTGTATCATTCTTAGCTCTACCATAGAATACAATTCCCAATCTGTTGGTTGCTCTAAGCTCAAAGGTAGAATGCTCGGCTACTATGTATGAGGCCCTTGGTTCAATTCCCAGCACCGCAGAAAAACAAAGCTGCTGTCCAGTAGTCTTTCTCTGCCTGTCTTATCTTACAGAAATTTCCTGAGAAATCAGCAAACATGTAGCATAAAACCTCAATAAAGGGGAAAAAAATGGCCCCTTCCTGCATCATTCCCAGTTTGAATGAGGCTAAGGAAAGAATCTTTAGCTAACTGGGGAAGACTAACTTAGACTACTACCCCAGTTCACCTGCCATAGGGCAGTTTCAGTCCTTGGCTCAGGCTGGAGTCCAGAAAAACGCCAGCAGAACATTCAAAGCTTTAGCTCTGGTAACAGGAGGAGGTGGGGCTCCAGAAACCTGGGTCTGAAGTCCTGGGCTCCACCTGGCTGACCCACCCTGAATGGACTCCAGCCATAGGTACAGTAGGCCAAAGGCTCAACTTAGCTGCTCACAGCACCACTGATCCTGGCACTAGGGTAAGCCAGTCACCTCAGGGTATGGAAGGGCAAAGATCTAACAGAACCTTCAAAAGAAAACAGTCACCCGAGTGAACTGTATTTAACCCATAGGTGGAAAGCGGCTCAGTGCACGTCACTGTCCACTATGAAGATCCAGTGAGTTTCAGGTGTGACACTCTGAACCCAACCTCCTGGGCACCACCAACTGTGGCACCCCACCTCAAAAAGGAGGCTCAGTCACTGAGGTCCGGGCTAGGGGTGCAGCACAGGAGAAACACTTATCATCCCCCAACACAGGGTCCCCCAGATCTCAAACCTGAAAAGCCACCTTGTTAATTAGCCTTTTTATTGATTTTTTTTTTTTTTTTAAATTGAAGGTCCCTTACTGGTCCTGCTTTCATGAGTGGCTGAGAACAAGGGGAAGGGGAGGGCAACCAGCTGGCAAGGGAGGGTCATTTCCACATTTCATTTACACACAGAACTAAACAGACAAGCACAGAGTCACTATTGTGGTTAGAAGTTGGCAGCATGGGATGGGGGGGATAAGGAGTAGGGTGTCGTTAAAAAAAAATAGGTCAGGCTCCCCCCAAACTGGGTGCCTGGGAAGGGACTTGGTCTGCTTCAACCCAAGAGGAATCAGAAGATCAAAAGCAGTTTGGGAAGGCCAGAACCGTCAGGGTGGAGGGAGAAGGACGGTCCAGGGGGTGGGGGGGACATTTGGCAACTGGGGTGAAGGGATTACCCTCCCCCTGCTGGGATCCCCCCAGCCCCTCAGGTCTGGCAGGAAAGGGGCAGCCTGCAACACCCATGAGCAGGTCTGGGGCTGCTAGATGCTCCAGGCAGGGGGCTGGAGGCGGCTCACAAAGGCTTGCCCTCCAGGGAGATGACGGCACTGCCACCTAGTTTCTCTGCCAGGGTGCAGCGGTCCTTCACCTCCTCGTAGCAGTTTGCTTGTAATTCATGCTTGATTCCTATGGAGAAAGAACAGTGAGCGGAAGACTGGGAAGCAGCCCTCAGAGCAGGAAGGTGCCACCCAGCAGGCAGAATGGAGGACCCTGTTGTTGTCATCCATTCCCCACAGCAGTCATGACAACACAGAGGGCATACAAAGAAGGAACCCTTACCTGTCAGTTTCTTCTTGATGGCATCCTTGGAACTGGCGTAGATCATTTTGCTCTTAAGGGGTGCACTCTCAGGGGCCCTGAAGACAAAACAAGGAAACTGCTGCAGCTTCCCCTAGACAACAGATGACTCAAGAATAAAGTATCCCTACGGTGCTCAACAGTGCGTTTCCCCACCCCCACGTTTCTCATTAGTTTTGTTACAGCCCTGACCCCAAACCTAGGATGATTTCTGCTAAGCTCTAAGAGAGGGAAGAGGTGGCAGGCAAGAGAGCTTGGATAATGAGCTCACCAGAAGATGAACACCAGGTCCTCCTTCTTGCTCTCCTTGGTCTCATAGGTGGCATCATAGAGAGCATAGCGGCAGTCCTTGTCTGGCAGCATCTTGACAAAGGTGGTGTAGGGATCGTCCACAGTCTGCCCCACATCTCCTACCAGAATCTCCTTGCCCTCCTCCAGGATGATGTTCTTCTTGTCCTCACTCAGGCAGAAGAGCACCGCCTTCTTACGTTTCTTCACTTCTTCTGGCGTCGAAGACTTGCGCACCTTCATGTCATTGAACACCTTGATGACACCATCAGAGACAGCCACACCAGAGGCCTGAAGGACGAGCCAAATAATACACCTTGTGAGGGAAAAGATTCTGGGGTATTCTCTCCAGTTACAGGAAACCTCGGTCAGAACACCAAGAGAGCTAGCTCTCAGCCCCACAGAGCTAGTAATGTCCCTGCAGACACAAGATGGTGCTGCCACCCCCCCCCCCAAACCCATCACCTAAGGACTAGTTTGGACAAACTCCCTGCAAGTGAGAAAATCAATTATCTAGTTCAACACTGGCATTAAAGGTTAGAAACAGCACTTGTTAAAAAGAAACATAGCCAGGAGTGGCGGAACATGTATTTCCTGAGTTCCAGGACATTCAGAGTGACAGAGAAACTCTGTCTCAAAAAACAAACAAACAAACAAAAAAAAAACCACAACCAAAGAAAAACCATTGAGAACTGCTGGGTTGTGAACGGCAAATGCAAAGAATTTGAAAGCTACTGATTGGGTTGACACCACTCAGCCGCTAGATTAAAATGCTGACTTAGATACAAAAGGAAGACCGAGCACTTGAGCCATAGACTCATCTTCAGGGAAGAGGGGATGAGAACTTCACAAAGACAACAGCTGCTCAACAGTTCATTTAAGTCCCCAGAGCCTTCAACGCAGCCATGGCATAAATGACACTGCCCTGCCAAGAGCTCCAGACACGAGAATTACAGCCCCTAATTAGGGCCCTGCTGGACAACTCCCTACCATCCAAGAGTGGTTTAGAGTCCTAAAGATCGCTGACAAATTAATAGGTCACGCTGTAGTGCCCAAATCGTCAAAACTTTCTACTTTGTATGGCCCTGGGGGGACGACCCAATCAGAAATGTGTAACCAACCCCCCAACCATGGAACTGCAGAGGAAGCTAGCCACGTGATTCACCCGCTTCCGGAGTAGGCGGGGAAAGGAGATTGGTTTGGGCGCAGGGCCTCCCCAAGAGACACTCGTAACCCAGAAGCGGCAGGACCTACGACGTCTCAAAGCCTAAAGATCGCTTTTAGGAATAGGCGTAAGGCCGTCAGCTTTAAGAGGTAGCACGGGCCATTCACACAAGCATCAGTTTTCCAGGCCCTCAGGCTGAACATGAGAGCTGGGTGGCTTCCGGGCGGTACCCGCCTGGGTCACTTCCCTAAACGCGGCTCCACCCTCGGCCCCATCCGGCACAGTCAAAGGCCTAGCTCGTCCAACGCAGAGGCCGGGATGGCAGGGCCCAGGCCTGTGCGCACGCGCTGCTGTACAGCGCCGTTCCAGCCCTAGTCCGAAGAAGAGTGAACAGAGAAGGCTGTGTAATCGCTCTTTCTAGAACAGGAGCTAAAGCCTGAATAGGACCCACTCTACTAGCGGTGCAAGGTCCTGGTCTCAGGAGCTAGTGCTTCAACCCTAGCATCCCCCCCGCCACCCAGTTGCCCCCGCCCCTCCCAGACGGCGGCATCCCTGCCACCTGCTGTGGAGACAAACCCATCAGCAGAGGGAGGGTGATGCGAGCAAAGGAACAGCCCTTGGGTGGGGCGCGCGCCGACACCTCGCGCGCGCTTTTCCCTAGCGGCCCCGGGGCAAGGTTTGGATGCCGCGTGCCCTGGTCCAGCGCGCGCCATCGAGAACCGGCGAGCGTTGCCCGAGGCTCTGCACACTGGCCCCCTCCCCCACGGCCAGTGTCCGCGCGGGCGCGCGAGCGGAATGGGGGTGGGGAAAGGAGCCAGGGGGCGCGCGAGCGACGTCCGAATCGGCCCTTCCCAGCGCCCACGGGCGCGCACGCGCGGCCTGCCCTTCATGGCAAGACCCTTAGTCTCGCTCGGGCCGCTGGGGGAGGGGATACTGAGAACGCTTCTCTGCCGCCCCCACCCCACCCGGCGCGCAAGCCACTGATCACGAAACCGCCACCCTCTGGCACAGTGGCCTAGTGCTCACCATGTTTCCGGAAGCGAAAGGGAGACGGGGAGAGCTACAGAAGAACTAAGCCGCCGCAGCTGCTACCGGGATCCGACTGAACGCGGCCTCTCCCGGCCCCTTCCGTTTAGTAGGAGCCGCACAATGAGGGGCGGGGCGAGCTTCCGGCGCTCGCCGCGCGGGCCGACGGGAAATGAAGTCCCAGTATTTTGCACCGAAGGGGAGTTAGCCGCTCCCGGGTTCCGCAGAGCCTGAGGCTCGGGGGAGTAGGCAAGGCCGAGAGGCGGGGCTGTTGCACGGGGAGTGAGCCCATTGGTGCGATGGACCAGGAAACGCTCTTGGCCGAGCAGAGGCCCATTGCTTGATAAGATGACCTGAAAATAATTCTGTCCTGAGTCTCTATTTATTCCCAAATGAAGTGATTTTTGGTTACTTATGGTTCCTGATGATCAAGACTTTTCCGAATCACTGGCTTGGAATCCGCTTGGATCGCCAAGTACAACGGTGTCTTCAAGCCAGTAGACTTGCTTTCCTAAGATGTCCCTCCATGTGAAAAGTCACTGTGACTCCTAAGAGGTCGTATGAAATTTCAACAAAAGAATAGGATTTTAACAAACTGAAAATGTTACAATAAAAAGTTTGAGAGCTTTGGTTTTGTTAAAGACAGTTGGCAAATTCTCGGATCAAACGTAATTCATGGGGGGAAGGGTGGAGAGTTGTGTAT